AGTGCTACTGACATTAACAAAAAGTAGAAAACAACCACAAACGGATACGCAGGAAGCTGCAAATGACAAAGAGAATAAATAGTCATGCAACAACAGAAGGCAAAAAAGCAAAGAACAAATAGAGGCCTCATATTAAACTTTGACTTTAGGCCCTGCATATACTTGAATTGCATCTGCCATAGACCTATCAAAATAATTTAAAATCCCATTAATGGGTAATGTGTACGCAGATCTTACCCTTACCCCGAGGAGAGAACGGAAATTGCAAAGACTCCATGAATACTAAAAATGCTCATATTTTGGCTGAGTTAAAGGATAAAATTGTGCAGGGTATTATTTAAGAGACTATTTTGAGCTTTTCTCCAAACATAAGCGACCATTTTTGTTGTTTTCTATTATTCTGATTTTCCAACATGTAGTAAGAATTCAAGTACTCCAAGTCTCCAAAATCTCTCCTTTTATTTTCTTTTTAGTTAGGAGTTTCATTTTTATATAGAAAATAATAGATTACTCTAATGAATGACAGATAATTTGTTATAAAATTAAGAGGAAATCATACTAAAAGTCCTGTAAAATGGCTCACTTGAGAATATACTCTTCTAATTTGTGTATAATCTACCATGGCAGCACATGACAAATTATACACGAAGGATAGATTAGTTCAAAGGAGTGTAGTGGAGAATATGGCATATTTATTACTCCCCCAGTTTGCTTTATATGGCACGATTTTTGAGTACGAAAGTCAAAGTTCTTAATTTTGAAAGTGAAATAAAACATATATTCTTTAACTTTATTATATAAAATTTACATATTCAAAATATAAAAAGTATTATAAGTCACAATAATTTATAATTTAAAAATATTTAAGAAAAACATGACCAAAGACCAACTTCGTAAACTCCCCAAATAGTAATGTTGCCACATGAAGTGAAACGGAGGGAGTATGCAATACTGAAAATTGAGATGCGGAATTTTTACCCTTCAATTTTGTTTCCCTGTCTTCTTTTTTCTTCTTACTGCTCCGTAAAGCTATTCGGTAAATAAATTTTTTTAATTACCAACAAAAAAAGCAGTTGGTTGTCAAAAGAAATCAAGTTCCATTTGACAAGAATATTTTCTCCAATTGAAATTAAAATAAATGTCGCAACATTTACATCAGTTTTCTCAGAATAGCTAAAATGCATGATATCCATCAAGAGAAACCATCATTATGCTGACCATTTTCATACACATGGGAACCAATGCATGAGGGGCAAAACTATAGGATGGTTGAAGGTTGAAGGTTGAAGGAGGGCCATGAATTAAAGATTCCATATATCATAATCTCGTATGAGGGTATGGATGGGCTTCAAAAATTGGCCAAGAATGTATTCAAAACTGAAAATATGTTCATCTTTGTTTTAACCTTCTTGTGCACCTTCACGTCATAGGAATCCGAAAAGATAGTCAATGATGAGAGCCTGATTCATTTCTGAGAACTCTGAATTGGAAACAGATACTTTATCTGGAAATTGCAGCCAAATTATGACCACATGTAAATTCACCATTCACCATCTTCTTAATTTACGATTTAGTAATGCTTGGCATCAACTTCATCTACTCAACCCAAGATGCACCCAAGACCTTAGCCATGAAGGCATATTTGTCTGCAGCTTCATCAATCTGCAATACAGGTATTACATTCAATAGTGTGAATGTAACTGAAGCGGCCCAGAACGATAACTAGTGAGAAACTTACCACTTTTTGTGTTGGTCGTCCAGCTCCATGACCAGCCTTGCGATCGATCCTACCAATGATGGGATTGGTCTGCGGACTCTTCTCCAAGCTTGTGCATAGGACATATTGCATGGTCTAAAGAAGACATCACAATTAGCAAAATGGTTCAATTTACAACAACAAGAAGACAAGATATAAATCACATAGAAATTAGCAGTAATGAACCTTCACGAACAAACATATGAAATTCTCTAACTGCTTAACTATGGATCACACAGGTTCATTAAATGTATGTTTCATATAAAGAGACAAGTTTAGTTCTGAGAAAGTAAACAGATAATGAAATCCTCATCTAGGCTATAAATAGGGACAGACCATAGCAGCACTGGGATTTTAGCTGCAGGAATTATGATCTTTGGAAACATGTCTCTAAAACAATTTTGGCAACAGTCCCTTGTCAACTGGAAGTCAATGAAGGAAACTCGCCTATGTGAATATCCTTTTCCAAAAGAGAGAACAAATTCGACCAGTAGCCCAAGCCTCAACTTCTGAAGCTGTAAGTCCAGGCTAGACTTTAGAAGTCAAAAAAGAATGTGCTCAACGAGAAGCAGGGAGAACCTTTTCATTACATTATGATCATGTAATAGATATAGTACTCATATTTTTACATAACTTTAAACTGTACGACGTTGAAAATTTTAGAAGCGGAATAGTCCAAACAAAAAAGTGGCTGTATATTTGTAGGTTAGTCATCATATAATAACCAAAACATGTATGAACCTGGGTGAAGGCAACAAAAGAGAATCTATTTTAATTTTTCCTTGCTTTCCATTTGTTTAGGCAAGGATTTACAATCTAAAAGTGCTATAGTCTGAAAACCTATTCCACGAAAAAAATTAATTTGAAAACTAATATGCATGCCAATCAAAAGTAGGGAAAAAAAATTGTATCTGGATGCAGATGAAATGTCAATAAAAAGGCTCATAGTTGTCCATGAAGAGGCAGAAGAAGAAGCAGGATTCTGTTTAGCTAGTTAGTAACCTACCGCCAATAACTTCAACGAGTGCAGTGGCACCACTCGATCATCATGATCTGCTGTCAGTAGCATAGTGGACGGATATTGAGATTCTTGATCAGTAGATTGTTCCCATGGCCTTCTGACATTATGGAGTGGTGAGTACCTGAAATCAATTGAGTGGGAATGACAGGCTAAGTAAATTTAATGTCGCTGCTCGAAAAAGGATAAAAAAGTGCTAGGCCAAATGCCTCAATCTACAGAACATTGAGTATCGTTAGATGCAGAAATGAAAAAGGGGGGAAAAGGGAAGGGGAGGAAGGAGAAGGAAAAGTATCAAATGTACAGTTGACAAGGTAGACTAGGACAGTTGCTACATGTCTTTATCTTATTCTCTAATACGAGAAATATTGCCTAAACAAGGATTCCTCCAAAAGCAATCTATCACCATGCTGACAATTTTTCACCATCGGGAACCGCTGTCATATTTCTTTTCATTTTCTCTTACATGCATGAATTGAAAAGCATATTAAGAGTATGCCGAGGGATGTTTCAGTGAAAGTTCCAAAACTCACTTGATTAGCCACTGAAACTCTTCTTCCTTGTCTGAACAGCCATAATCAGAAGTCCAGGCATGACCTAGTGAGGAAGAGAATATAAGTTGTAAAGAGCAAATGACCAAAACCAATATGTATCATTGAAGATGAGAACTCAGTCTACAGCACACTACCTATAGTAAACTTGTGAAATCTAAGCATATCCATAACACCAACATGCGCAAGAGCACAGCCAAAGAGATCAGGTCTCTGCAATTATGAAGCTTCCACAGTCAACCACTGATTCATCAACACTAGAATGCAGCAGAATAAGATAGCGATATTGAGGAAACAGTTTAAGTACCTGATTGATGCAGGCTCCAACAAGAAGCCCACCATTGCTTCCACCTTCGATGCACAACTTCTCTGGCTGAGTGTAACCAGCTGTCACAAGATACTCAGCAGCAGATATGAAGTCGTCAAAGCAATTTTGCTTTTTGGAAAGGGAGCCAGCTTTATGCCAATCTTCTCCATATTCCCCGCCGCCACGAATATTTGCANGGGATGAGTGGGTTCCACCAGTTAAATTAAAAAAAGAAAAGAAATAAACACAATTTTTAAAGGCTTCACTTGCTGCAAGGCGAGTGTAATACACACATTGTGCCATGTCACTTTGAAGGGTTTAAGAGACACATTAAAATATAGCTTGAGGTGTCTACTTGATAAATAGTCTGTTGAGGTGTTCAAATGACCGTTGTGGACAATTTGGAGGGGCCGTTTATGTATTTCGCCTTATTATATCTAAATTATTTATGAACACTCTTGAGAAGTTATTTTCCTTAATTTGCGTACCAAACACCAGAAAATGAATAAGATTACTACTTGTTTTCCAAAAAAACATTTTCTTGGAAAATATTTTCCACGGAAAACATTTTCCGTTATACCAAACACACCCTTAGTCTCAAATGGCAACTTTTGATCATTTAGCCCTTTGAATTTGTTTGGATTTGGTGGAAGTGATGAAGATATATTATGAGGACGGTTGATAATTCCTTGTTGTTGAGATTGTTTCAGCTTTGGTCCAAATTGTTTGGACTTAGCTTTTTCAGTAATGTTGATTTCCTTCTCCTTATTCACATCATATTGTAGCTGGCTGATTTGGCTTTCCAACTTAGCTATTTCATTTTCAACCATGGCTAGTTCTGCAAACAGCTCCTTCATCTACAAAATTTGCAATTTAGTCAGTACCAATTAGGACAGAGTTTAAGTTTGACATACTAAAGGCAACGCGGTGCACAAAAGCATCCCGCATTCATGTAGGGTTCGAGGAAAGGTCGCACTCCAAAAGGTGTAATGTAGACAGTCTAATCTAATGTAAGTATAATTAGTGGCTGCTTCCATGACTCGAACTCGTGACTTATATGTCACACAAAGACAACTTTACCGTTGCTCCAAGGCTCCCTTCTTAAGTTTGACATACTAGCGGTGTTAATACATAATTGTGGCACTTACTTCTAAGGTAATAATTACAAGTAAATTTATGTGACAAACATTACTTCATAACTTAATACAAATGATAATCGGCAAACTACATCGATAGTAAAAAAATAAATTACACGGTCGATATACATATACAACTTAAATCCGTTGGTATATATGGAGAAGAAACTAAAATAAATATCACTAAAATGCAAATAATGCCTCTAAATTTACACTTTAAGAATGTAAATTTTTTATGAAGAATTTTTTTGAATATGAAGAAACTACCTTTTGTCAACTTAGGATCTGACGTTTACTTTCCACCTAAGCTTGATTCAACCAACCATCCTTACTTACCTACTAAAGCTACAAACTTTCTTTTTTTAATTTATTTTTTAAAGATTTAATTTGTACGAAATTGGATCCATAGCAAGCCGGTGTTTTATCGTTCTTGATATGAACATGATTCTTTTTTTTTGTGTGGTTATAACCACTTTTCTATACTTTTCTTCTAAGCTTGTGTTAATCATGAAATCTTAGGAAGAGGAGAAGATCATTCCATCAAAGTTAGATATACACAGAAAAGTGGAAGGCATAAACAATTTCAATGAAAGTTTACACCAAGAAATTAAATTAAATCACCTTAGAGGAAGATAATTTGGAATACTGAAAGATGAACCATCCTTTCGCTGATACACCTTCTCCAGAAATTCATGCACTTTTTGTTCATGATTCAACATTTTCCTAAGCTCATATCGTAGCATAAATTTCATTACATGGTAAGTACGACACTTATACTATAGTCAAAACAACAACATGGCTGTTCACCCCAGAAAATTTAGCAAGAAGCACATTACATCTGCGAGAGTGATCCTTATCAATGTATCCCTGTTCCTGGTAATTCTTGATACATCTTTATCTTCCCCAGACCCATGTCTATTTTTCCAGGGGTTAGGAAGAAAACAAAATATTGATATATAACATTAAAATTTGAAAATTCATAGTTCTCATACAGCAATAATTATGCAACAGATTAGGGAGATTCATAGTAAACCTTTCCATCTTCTGTTACCGAAGCTGATCGTGTACACTTCGGATTTTCAGGATCTTTCCAGCACAATATATCATCGGACTGATCAGTACCCAAGCGATGATAATACACTTCATGGTTCAGATTGGCATGTGTCTCTGTCCCAGCATCCAAACTTTCTCCATCACTAAGAAGCAAGACACACTCCAAAACTTAGAGTCACACAAAATAAT